CTGATTAGATTAAGGCTGTAACCCAATCATTTCTCCTCCAAACCGTCTTTCATTCTAACACATGAGCTTTTGGGGGACACCACACCTAAACCATAATATGACCCCAGGGGAATGGGGATGAGGGAGCAACTCTAGGAACCGGCTGTGCGAGGGGCAGGAAGGATGACCAGGAATATTAAAAGTTTGAGCTGGGGGTGGAGTCTCTGTCCCTGGCAGAAGTGAGCGATGAGCAGCTTTAGACTTTGGAGAGAGGTTGGGTCAAATATGGCCCCATTGGCTTTGGGATGGCAGTAAGTCACCTGCATGGAGTGACAGCATCATCAGTCCATAGGCTGAGATGGACTGGGGAGTGGCCTGAGTTTATGCTGGGACTGAATGCGGATGACTAAGGGGACAGGGTGGGCAGCAGGAAGTCTGGGTCTAGCTCAGTGGGGTGGCAGGAGCGGGATGCCCAGGAAGCTGGGGCCGGGGGCACAGGAGGAGTCCTAAGCATCAGCTAAGCTCTTAGACCTGGCAACTGGGAGACGGGAAGAGCCTGCCTCTTATCCCTCCTGGAGCCTGGAATGGGGTGGGTAGGAGCCACACTGGGTGAGGGTGGGCATATGAAAAGCACATCACTCTGCCTCAGCCAGGGAGAGCCGCAGGGCGCGCTGGTTGGTCTTAGACACCGCTGGTGGTGGGGGGTGCTGGAAGTGCCTTGTGTGGAGCTGGTGGGGAGTGTATTGTTTGCAGGACTGTCCGGCATAAGCTGTGGGTCCATTGTGACGAGTGTGTATATATTGTAATGATTGAGTTGAGTCTGTTGAGGGTGCTTTGAACCAGCCCCATCGAGGTGTGGCTCCTGACTCTACCGAGGTACAGGGTGATGCCGCCCCCCTGTGGACAGAAGGGGTTGAGACCTCTCCATTCATTCTATTCAACCATGATCTATTTAGACCAGGGTTTCTCCACCTTGACACAGTTGGCATTTTGGGTAGAATAATCGTTTGTTGGTGAGGTTTCCTTTGCATTGTAGTAAATTTATCGATGTTCTGGGCTTCTATGCACTGGATGTGAGTGGCCACCCCCAAGTCATAAAAACCAAAATGTCTCTGGACTTTGCAAAATTTCTTCAGGGGGCAAAATTGCCCCCTGTTTGGATTCCTGTGATCTAGTCAGCTGCTCCCGCTCATTCTTAAGAATAAGGTAGACAGGAGTCCTTGCTCTCACAAAGGACACTGTCCATGGGGAGATAGGCTTGAACAAGGGAGCAAAAACAGAACAATGACAGATTTGGGTAAGTACCATGGAAGAAGCAAAGGTGGGGCTGTGGTCCAATCAGCATGGCAGTGGTGTCCGTGGCTACTTTGACTGCAGCAGGTAAGCAGGATGAGGAACCAGTCACATACAGAGCAGAGCTTCCAGCTGAGGGAAGAGCAGGTGCAAGGGGCCTGAGGCAGAAAGGAGCCAGGCATGCACTGCTGTGCCACGGACGCTTACCCTCTGGGGAGGAAGGGGTGTCTGAGGATGACTCTTCAGTGGATGGGGGGAGCACTGGGAGGCAGGAGCTGACTGGTCCAGCAGGGTGCAGAGAGCAGGCTCTGTTCCTCATGGTGCCTGGCCCAAAGAAGGCCCCTGGTCCTTTCCTTGATGGGCAGTGCTGGTGCAGTGGGCTCACTGGAGCAGGGAGGAGCTGGGGCCAGGTGTGTGCACTGGTGAAAAGGTGTGGGCAGCTGGCCTGGGGGTGTGGGTTTGGGTCCCTGGGGTGGGTCCTCCTGTGGCCTGACATCTTTGCCCCTCCCTAGCGCTGGCAGGACCTCAATGTGATCAGCAGCCTGCTCAAATCCTTCTTCCGAAAACTGCCGGAGCCTCTTTTCACCGATGGTGAGTAGGAGCAGAAGCGGGAGTGGGGGGCAGCAGTTCACCTGCCCTGGGCGCTTTTCAGTTAGAGCTGTGGGTTATAGTCTTTTGATAAAAAAAAAAAAAAAAAAAAGGAAGAAGAAACATGTAAGAAACTTAGCTAGCGCGAAGAGAATCAAGTAACCAGCAGAGGTCCCTGTCCTTCCTGCGCTGCTTTCCCCAGAGGTCACAGCTGATACCTTCTGGGCACTTGCTGTGTGCCCACTCCCTATGACGACTCCTGAGCCAGGTCCCGTGGACCGCTTTACACAGGAAGCAGAGGCTCAGAGAGGTAGGCCTTCCCAAGGGCACACAGGGGCGGAGTCTGCCCCAGCCCAGCTCATGGTCATGAGTCTGTCGTGTTTCCTTCCTGACGCTCTTACTCACATGAGAAAACCCCTAGGCCGCCCTGGTTTTGGAGTCGGAGCTCAGTGGCGTGCTGGCTTTCCGGGGAAAAGCCTGGGTGGGTCGTATTTTCCAATTACCATGGTGTAAATACTCCCACTGCGGCTCATTTCAAGCCACTGACTTGATGTCACCAACAGAATTAGGAAGAGAAGCTCACAATTTGGTCTCAGGATCCGGTGTGAACAGCTGCAGCACACTGTTGATTGAGTTGTTCTTCTTTCTTTTCTTTTTTTGGGATTGAACCTAGGGGTACTTAGCCACTGAGCCACATCCCCAGCCCTTTTTATTATTTTGAGACAGGGTCTTGCTAAGTCACCTAGAGCCTCACTAAATTGCTGGGGCTGGCTTTGAACTTGCGATCCTCCTGCCTCAGCCTCCCAAGCCACAGGGATTACAGGTGTGGGCCCCACACCTGGCTTGAGTTGTTCTTAATAAAAGTAGGGTTATAATTGGGGATGCACTGGTGTCACCGCAGAGAGCCCTGCCTCACTCTCCTCCTAAACTACATAGTATCACATAGTCCGAGTAAACTAAATTCTCTATGGACGGGTAGAGGCAAATATTGTCTTCAAATATTTGCTATTACAAACCCTGCTTCAGGGACTCCTTGAACATGTCCTTGCATGCCTAGATAGATTCCTGGACACAGCATTGCTAGGTCAGTGTCCCTAAAGAGCATTGCAAGCTGATGTGAAATTGCAGAGGAGCCCCTAGTTCCCACCACCACTAACAGCATGGGTGAGTGTCTCCCCACATCCCCATCAACATTGGGTGTTATCAACTTTTTAGTTTTTGTTTTATTTTTGGTAGCACTGGGGATTCAGCCTGGGGCTTCACACATGTTATTATTAATATTTTAAATTTTTGCTAGTCTACAGGAAATAGTATTTCTTTATTCTCATTTTTATTTTCCTCATTACTAGAGAGATTAAATAAATCTCTTCTGTTTTCTTTCTCTTTTTTTTTTTTTTTTTACAGCCCTGAGGATTAAAACCAGGGTCTCACATATGCTAAGCAAGCACTCTACCACTGAGTTACATCCCTAGCCTTTTTAATTTTTATTTATTTTTTTAAAAGGAAAGTTCAGAAACAATTTATATATAAATATGATTTATTGAGGTGAATCTTTTTGGTGGTGCTGGGGATTGAACCAGGGCCTTGTGCGAGTGAGGCAAACACTCTACCAATTGAGTTATAACTCCAGCCCTTATTTTTTATTTTGAAACAGTGTCTTTCTCAGGTGCCAAGGCTGGGATTGAATTTTTGATCTGCCTCAGCCTCCTGAGTAGCTGGGATTACAGGCATGTGCTACTGTGCCTGCCTAAATCTCTTTTTATTAGTTTATTGGCTTTTTTGTTTGTTTGTTTTTTCTATAATCACTTATCCGTATTGCATGCCCAGTTTTCTGTTGGGTTCTCTTTTTTTGGTATTGGCCCATGGGGACAAATTCTTCATATCTTTAGCTTAATCTAATGGGTTTTTGCAAATATTTGCTCTGGTCTGCCATTTCCCTTTAAATCTTTCAGTTTAGAAGTAGGGCGCAGTGGTGCACCCCTGTAACCATAGAGGCTCAGGAGGCTGAAACAGGAGGATGGCAAGTTCAAAGCCAGCCTCAGCAATGGCAAGACACTAAGCAACTCAGTGAGACCCTGTCTCTAAATAAAATACAAAATAGAGCTGGGGGTGTGGCTCAGTGGTTGAGTGCCCCTGAGTTCAATCCTTGGTACAAAAAAAAAAAAAAAAAAAACCCTTCAATTTAGAACTGAAAACAATTTTTTTTAAAGAAGTATTGAAATCATTCATCTTTTTTTAATAGATTCTGCATCCCATGTTTAAGTCTTATGATTTTAAAACTATTTTATTTTTTTTCTCAATGATCTTTTAATTTATATATTTGACTTTATCAAATAACTTCATTTGTATATTATGTGAGATAGAAATAGACCTCCTCCCAACCAATGATGGCCACTTGGACATTTATCAACCCCCATCGGATTGCTGCCTTTGTCATGTGAACAGTCCTCCACTGCCTCCTCATCGCCCTGTGTTTTCTGCCAAAGCCCAAAGCTTGTGTACCTGGGATCCACAGGGTACATCTGGCCCTCACCATTCTTTTAAAAATTATCCTTGGGGCTGGGGTGTGGCTCAAGTGGTAGCGTGCTCACCTAGCATGCATGAGGCACTGGGTTCAATTCTCAGCACCACATAAAAATAAAATAAAGATGTTGTTTCCACCTAAAAATAAAATAAAATAAAATAAAAGTTATCCTTGACACCGGGCACAAGGCTGCATGCCTGTAGTTCTGGCAACTTGGAAGGCTGAGGCAGGAGGATCACAAGTTCAAGGCCAGCCTCAGCAACTTAGGGAAAGCATTTTTTTTTTTTTTTTTGTCTCAAAAGAAAAAAATAAAAACACCTGGGGATGTAACTCAGCATGCCCTTGGGTTCAGTCACTGAAAACACACACACACACACACACACATCTTGTTCTTATCTAGGTGAATGCTATATTATTTTTTGGAGCTAGGGAAGGAACCCAGGCCTTGCACCTGCTGAGCATGCACTGTATCTCCGAGCGACGCCCCTAGCCTCCCTGATGAATTTTAGAATAGACTCACTATGTTCCATTTTTTAAGGTTCCCCATGGGCTCTGGGAACTTCAGGAGTTGGGGGACTCCTGATACGGTTTGGGGTGTCTGGAAGCCTCCTCCCCTTTCTTCTGACCTGCTGAATCTTGGTGTCCTTGTCCTACAAACTGAGGCAAGGACCCCTTTCTAATATCAACATGTAGTTCAGGTCTTTATTTTTTATATTTTTGGGGTGCAGGAGATTTGAGCCCAGGGCCTCAACATGCTAGACAAATGCTTTGCCACAGAGCTACCTCCTCTCCACTTCTTATTTTTGAGACAGGACCTCGCTGAGTTGCCAGACTGGCCTCAAACTTTCAATCCTCCTGTTTCAGCCTCCCAAATTGCTGGGATTATAGGCAAGTGCCACACATCCGCAGCTCGGGTCATATTTCTTCCCACACAAACTCACCTGGGCTGTCAGGTCCGTGCACACCTGATTTGGCCCTGGAGCCCCAAGGTGCAACTGTGGGCGCAGAGCAAGGCCCTCGGGGCGGGGCCTCCTCCGTGGGCTGAAGCAGCTCCTGTCCCCCCTGGCCTGGGGACGGGCCGCCTCCCACCTCTAAGGAGCCCTCACTCTTTTCTAGACAAATACAATGATTTCATTGAAGCCAATCGCATCGAGGACTCGAGGGAGCGGATGAAAACCCTGCGGAAGCTGGTGAGGACGGGCTGCCCTTAGGCCAAGGTGACCGAGGGCGGGCAGGGGCCGAGGGGAGAGTCCAGCCTCCCTGGGGTGGGGACAGGTGGGGTGGGGGGCTGTCACAGCCTGACCCTGGCCCTTCCTCTCCTCCCCAGATCCGGGATCTCCCGGGGCACTACTACGAGACGCTCAAATTTCTCGTGGGCCATCTCAAGACCATTGCTGACCACTCGGAGAAAAACAAGGTGGGCGGGGCTCCAGCACGGCCCAGAGGGAAGAGTAGGACTTCTGGGATCCCCTGTGCTCTAAGTCCTCCTCCCTACGGCCCTTCTATCCCTCACGCCATCCACTGTATGCCAGCCAGGGCTTTTTCCCCAGAGTGCAGTTTCCTGCGTCTCTGCAAGTCTTCCAGAAGCAGACAGCCATGGCTCCCCGGGTGTGGTAGAAATGTGTCCTCTAATCTAGCTCAAAGCCTTGCATTGCATTTTTCTAATCGAATTCCTTGTCTTTTGGTTCTGCAGGGGGGAGAATGAGGGGAGTAACAGGATTTTTCCTATTTCTAAAATACCCTTGGGATCTCCCGACACGTCTCCTACTCCAAGGTCCCCCACTGCTGCACTAACCCACTCTGGGTGACCCTGTATAGATGTTCAGGTTGACATTGCTCATGGCTGTTAGGCCTGGGCATGAGTGGGACTGAGATCTGGCCTGCGCGCCACCTGCCAAGCTCCTGTAAGCCCATGCAAGGAGATGTCTAGTCTCAAGGTGGGACAGCTCAGGATGGGGCTTAGAGTGAGAGAGGACTAAGAGGTGCTGGGTTCAGAGCTCAGTGCACTGATCCCAGTCTGCTTCCCTCCTCTGCCCAGATGGAGCCCCGGAACCTGGCCCTGGTCTTTGGGCCAACGTTGGTGAGGACATCTGAGGACAATATGACAGATATGGTGACCCACATGCCTGACCGCTACAAGATCGTTGAGACGCTGATCCAGCACGTAAGCAGCCTGTTCTGTGCATGTGCCCTGACAGCGTGGGGACCCGCCATGTCCTTAGCACCTTGCACCTGCCATACTCAGTGACTGAAGAATATGCGGCTGGGGTGGCTCATGCCTTACCAGCAACGGGATGCAGAACAGGAATGAGTGGTAGAATCCCTACCATTCTGGGTTGTCTGGTCCTCAGCAGGAGAACCAGGAGGCCCCCAAGCCTCCAAGATGCCAGTGAGAGGGAGAGGGAGGAGAGGCAGGGGGCCACTCCTGGCCTGGAGGGTACAAGTGATGAATGCAGGAGGGCCTCAGAGGTGCCTGGGAGACACAGGTGCAAAGGCCTCACTTGGGCATCAGAGGCCTGGTCTCTAGTGCTCCAGACGCCCCCCCCC